TAAATTCATATTTAATGAATCCATTTGTTCAAATCAAAATTTCCTAAATTTTAGTGTCTACATGAATATAGTGATTACTACTGATCATGTACGTGCAATGAAATAATGGGCAGCTAAAAAAAGCATTTATGCATAAAGCAGTGCAGGCATTAGCGTTAATTTGGAACCATATATATTTCATGCGTCCATCTACGTTGTCAAATGTCAATCTTTTTCTTCCTACGTGTACTGTGTGGAGAATGTCGACCAAGATTAACAGCGCCCACTAATTTTGACACGATTTCACACGGTATGTGTCTTACGATTTTCTGCACGGCATGACAACGACAAAAACAACTTTCCTATCAATTTCCTGTTGATACGTGGAAGAGCTGACTTACATAATTTGTCACATTCATCACGTGTTGCACCAACGTACTAGGCCAAGTCAGTACACGCAAGGCTTGGAATTAGCTTAAAAACATCGATCCGAATCGCACATCATTTCAATACAAACATTAATTTCCTGTCTTCTGGCCATAGCTAGGTTTATTAATTATTGTAATCGTATTCACAGGATCATCCTAGCAAGAAGAATCTAATAAACAAGGTTACCTAACAAAATTTTGGGAGGGTCACAGGTAAATTTTTATTATTTTTTAAAAATACCATGTATAATTATTAAGAATTGTGGATCCTAAAATAGATTTTTCAAAATAATAATAATAATAATAATAATAATAAAAAGGTTGGGGATCGACTAACCCCGGCTCCGCCGCTGAACATACTGTATCTCTCCCCAATTTTTATGGTCGAAGTCCCAATGTTGATGAAACGTACTAATACTTTTATTGTTGTAGGAATTGATTTGGTGTGCCTTGTTCATATTTTTCTTCTGTATATTCATCTGGCAACCAATGAATTCTAGATATGATGATTTTGTACATGTAAAACACATGTGATCACAACAATCAAATTATTAAATTACAAAACTGCATTGGTACATTCACCTGATTGTCTGTGTACCATTGATAGGGGCAGGAGACCCCATACATATTTTCTGAGATCCGTTCCTTTATAATTATTATTATTATTATTATTTTTTAATTGGTATCAGGAACTCTTTTAGGTAGGGCTCCTTTGAGACCCACCCTAGACTACAAATCTGGAGGTGTAGGGCCTCACCCCAAAATACACCGGGTGAATCGGAGGTAATAAGGGAGGCTGGCAGGAGTCGAACACTGGCGTAGTGTGTGCCAATGCCAGGCCCCTACCAACACATTTGATAAGTACTTCTTTGATGACTACTTTGATATATCATTCTTAACACATTTGATGAGTACTTAAAAAATAAAAAATAAAAAGAATATTTTTATTAATTTAAAACATATGGATGTATTTAATATATTTCAGTAATAAAATTTACAATAAATGATATTATTGTATTTTTTTTTTTTTTAGACAATACTTGGGTCCTCTCATAGGAGGATAAAGTTCATCCTCTTGCCTGATGTGGTCCAATACAATTTAGACACATGTTTAAAATTATAAATTTTCTAAAAATAATTATTACACATGTTCTCAAGTGTTAAACCGAATCCCAAAGTTTTTATTTCCTTTCCAAAAGAATAGGATTGTTTCTATACCCAAATTGAAAATTTGCAAAATTTATTTAAAGAATATACCATATCAAGTGTTGAATAGGGAAGAAATATGAGCTTAAATGGTGCAAGTTGAGTGTTTGATTGATGTAGATAGACTAGAATTTCAGATTGAGATTGGGTAAAAAAAATTGGGTTTGGGTTTAAGGGATTCTAAAAATTTTAAATAGGGAAAAAAAAAAAAAATATTGGATTTGGGTTTAACCAGAAAGAAATTGGATAATAACCAATATTAAAAATTTTAAAATGTGTCTTAGTTGTATTAGACCACTTCAGCTGAGAGGATAAAGTTCATCTTCTAATAGAAGGACCAAGTATTGTCCTTTTTTTATACGTTTTTTTCACATCTTTATTTCCTCCATTGATATAGTACATAATTTATCCCGCATTTCTTCTTTTTGGTTTCACACACACACACACATATATATATAAAATATATATAATAGTAAAAGTAAAAGACTTATATACAAAAATAAACAAATACTTTTCAGGAATGCTCAAGAAGTTCTTGAAATAGACATATATATATTTTTTTTTCCTATTTTAGTTTTAAAGAGCAGGGTGGAGCACTCCATCCCCATTCGGGCCATTCTTGCCCCCCATCAAATTTTAATCTCTCCAAACCCGTCCCACTAGAGATGGGGACAACATGAATTGCTTAGGTATCCTAACATTTATGGTGGGTGGCGATTAGTAGTGAGAACAGGTCGGCAATTGATTGTGGGTGATTGGTTGTGGGGATAATGTTGCGATGGTGTGTAGAGAGAGAAATGGGCGGCCTGTTGGTGGCGACACCTCTCTTTAAAAGAGATGAACTCTTTTTCTCCCACGACATATTCTTTTCTTGATTGTCAATTATGCAGGGTTATTTTTGTCAATTTATATTACTAATATTTTTGAATAAAATTAAGGATTAATTTCACTGACATCCCATCAGATTTGGCCAAATATCACTCTGAAATAACTTTCAAAAATTACTATCACTCATTTTGTAAACGTTTGTTCCATCTTTCACTCACACCCCCAATCAAAACCTCTGACACCATGTAAATTGACTTAAATACCCTTTGACTTTGACAAAAAAATCTTTAACCCAAATAAATATACCAAAAGACTAAATTGTCCCTAAATATTTTACAAATTTACAATTGTGTATATATATACACACACATACATATAAGTATACATATATATATATATATATATATATATATATATATATTTATTTATTTACTTGTATATATTTAAGGCTTTACTGCCCGGCGGCTGCAATACCCAATTCTACACTTGCCGTAGATACTTCCAGTTCGATGTCTTTGGGATCTTTGGTATTCTTACCACCTTGTAGTTTCCGCCACCCCCACACCACACCATAATCTCCACCACCAGATCTCCGTCGGACGCACACCATCAACCCATCAACGGCGTCGATATGTTAAGAACAAGTGGTGTGATTTGTTGTTAGGGAAGAGGTGAAAAGGGAAACAGAAAGAAATTAGGGTATCTCATTCATTCTTTTTCTGATCGTTCCATTATAAATTAAGGTTTGTAAATTCAATCAATGAAGAGAGCAAATTAGGGTTTGAACAAATTTGGGTTTGGTTAATAAACTTGGTGGTCGAAAAACACAAAATTGGCGACACCATGTTCTTCATGAGGTGAAGCAATCCAAAGGAGATGACCAAAACTATCCGCTTGGTTCCAGATTAAAATTTCTTGAAATTTTCATCAATAAATTGAATACGCATATGTGTATATATATACACGATTCTATTTTCTCTCTACTTTCTCACTATTCCTCTCTCACTAGTTAGGTGATACCTTCAACAAATGGAAACTTCATGTATAACCTTCCAAGCTTTCTCAAATTTTCCTTTTCTTTCCAAATCCTTCTAAAGAAAGAAAAAAAAAACCAAAAGAACTGTTTATGAAAAAATTGGTAATAGTTAAAAAAAAAATAAAAAATTCATTGATGATTAAGAGCAACTAATAGAAGAGGTATATTAGCTAGTCAATTCATCATATTGTTGTGGTGGTGGGAGGGCACCGGTGCTGAAGAGAGAGTGTGTGAGTGACTTGTGAGGGTAACGGGGGTAATTTGGTTTTTATATAATTATGATATTTTAAATTAAAATGTATAAAAAAAAATGTGGGTAAAAATGTCATTTTACACCTATTTTGACGGTGTCATTGACGGAAATGTGATTTGAGGTGTGAGTGATAGGATTTTTCGAAAGATGTTTCAAGTTGATATTTGGCCAAACCTAAGGGAGGTGTCAGTGAAATTAACCATAAAATTAAATTAATAATTTAAGAATATTTATGTCATTTGAAACTACAGAGGATGTCATTGTTCAAAATTGAGTTGACCATTCGTTGAGTGAAATTGATCAAAATTTCAAAGATGTCAGTGCAATTAACCCTAATTAAAAAGCTCAATAAAAATAAAAAATAAATAAATTTGTAACTTATAAACAAAAAATAATAATATTAATAATAATAAAAATAAAAATAAAAACTTTTCCAGGTCGTAGTAGGGGTAGGGACTACGGACAATGAAAACGAACAGATAGCGCCCACTATTAGTCACAGATTTCACATATATGTATAATGTATGATAATTACTACGAGTTTCTGCGAGGCAACTGCGACGTTTCATGCATGTCTCCTGCTGATACAAAGTGGCTGACGTAATCGTCGCCATTCTCACCGTGTGTCACACTCACACCCACCACAACCTAACCAACTCATGCATGGAAGCTTAATTTAATTTGAAGGAATAGTCAAACTCCATTGAAGATATGTCTTAGTCCAATCAAATACTTAGAAGTTTCCAATCAGAAATGGATTCGGAACAGGCTCGTCAAAACTATACCAAAAATCGTGTCAGAATCCATCCATTTGAATTTTAGAAACTTTTGACCGGTTTACTTACCAGAAAAAAAACTTTTGACGATAGACCAAATAGATTTTGGCAACTTGTTCCACGTTTAATGATAGTAAGCAATCATCCATCCAGACATTACTAATTGGTTGCAATTATTTTTTAAGGTAACATGTTTATATATATATATATATATATATATATATATATATATATGTCTCTGTAAGAATGTATGTACGTATTACGTGTGCGTACGTGAAGAGAAAGTACTTGATATGCATAAACACCATCTCTGAGTGGTATATATCTAAAAACCAATCATGAATCAATCAAATTGTGTCCTATACTAGAACATTTCGAACATGAAATCAGATGTCCAAAAAAAAAAAAAGGGACGTACTGATCCAGTAGTTCGTTTCAAAAAAAAAAAAAAAAAAAAATGGTGGTCAGCTTTGTTTCCTTCCATACATTAATTTTCAACTAAACGTATTGGAGCGAAAAGGGAGCACCGTTGCAACTTTGTAATGAGAGCATGCATGTGGATTGGAGGAGGATAAAATTCCAGCAGTCCAGCTCCAGGATCTGTGGTGAAATTTTGTTACTATGCTTCTAAAACCTTCTTCTAGGACTAGGAGTGGATCGAGGGCGACCTCCTCTACCTGAGCTTCTTTAAAGGCGCCATACATGTTTGATACGTACCAGTAAAAGCATAGGTTCACAACACTTAGCATTGCTAACATTCTGTAATACTCATCCAAGTGACTCTCATCTAGAGTGTCCTTAAACCAGCCTCTAAAAGCAAGCACAAAAGGTATGCACAGGAATTTCCCAATACCTAATATACAATCACCGAATGCTGGCCCGTAGCTCCTCATGGATTCATCAACATGATGGTTGAAGAAATCTTGGAGCCCTTCTTCAGCAAGTCCTTCCATAAGCCCTAATAGGCAGAACTGAGGGGCTAACCAAAATATGCTCATGGAAATGGTTTGGTCTGACTTGTCTGTGAGTCTCCCTTTCCGAACTAAATGCAACCTGTGGACCTCAACCTGCCAAGCAGTAATGCAACATAATATTGAACAAACCATCCCACTTCCAATTCTCACAAGCATAGTACGCTGCCGATTTGCTCCACCCCACAGCTTTGGGACTAGTAAGTCATACATATTAGAGAATGCGAAGCTTGAAAAGGACTGGATTACAAAGAATGTAACAATTGGGACAATGAATGTTTTGCCAATATTAATTTCATCATTCAAGTTAGTAGTTTGTTCAATAAAGAAAGTGCTCCCTGTTGCCTCTACAAGACTGTATACAAGGAAGGTTGTCCACATAGGCACCATTTCTAGTAGAACTTTTACTCTACTCACTTCTGCAACTGTGCAAATCTTTCCTTTCTTTTCTTGTTCCTCTAGACTATTGAGAGGAGATGTCTCTACAATTGCAGCTTTGTCCATCCACCTGCAATGCAGTCCTTTTCAAGAGAGAGAAAATGCCTGTTTGGCGTGCTGCAACTATGAAAAAAAAAGCTTCTACATGTAGAACGTACATACTACAAGGAATATATATATATATCAAACTAGCATTTGGAAAGGTTGGATGTGTATTTTTTAAAACAATTTTAAGGGTTTTTTTGTCTTTATGAAAATACAAAGAGATAAACTTCTCCATGCAAGTCAAATTACCTACAACTTTGTACCTCTACAAGAAAAAAACTAAATTAAAGCAAATTTTTTTCCGATGATGGTGGTATCATTTCTCTCAGAGAACTCCATAATCCTCCACAGGGCACATGCAGTCATCAGATCCACATGCACGGTGTAATTACAGAAACTATTTCCGTAGAGGAGGCCCAAAAGGAACTAAATACAATTTAAAAAGTTCTAAATTGAGTTTCGCGTAAAAACTCTATTGAGTCAAAATATCAACAATCTAAAGATAGCACATTTTTTTTTCATTAGCAAACACATGAAATTAACATGCTAAGCCGGAGACACTGAGAGAGATCGAAGTGCACCTGAAGAATGGAATGCGAGGCAACAAGGGTAATTGTTTGATTGGTCATGCCTAATTGGGTAGTCAAAATGCTGCTTAAAAGTAGCCACCTTGAATACGCGATAAACAATGGTAAGGGGACTGCCTGTTGGTTTTTTGCAGTAGTAGAAGGTGGTGCCTGACCACAACAGTAGATATGCGACCCCCATGGAAATGGCTGATATCATGAAAGTATATGCCCAAGAAACTTGCAGTTGAAGTGCAAATGCAGATGTTGCAGCTCCTGAGTACCACGAGCAGTGCCACCACACTTTTCTGCGAGCCTCCACTCGTTCCTCATCTATATTTGAGCTTGGTTCCAGCTCCCTTAACTGATCTGCAAGAAATGCTTTCAAAGAGGCATCTCTTCCTGCTATACCCAAAGCTATAACCATCATTGCCACATAAAATAACTGAACATTGGTTCTATAAGTTAGAACCACTTCCCCAAGCCATAGTAGTACCAATCTTTACAAAAACAAAGTGTTTAAATGAACATGCAAACTTGTTTCTTGGTAAGGACTACATGTAATCGAACTGAAATTCAAAGCACCATTAGATTTTCCTAATGCGAGTACTGTTATAATTTTTTATTTTTTATTTTTTATTTATACACAAATGTCCATTACAAGACTCGAAAAGATGTATCAAGGTCAAGAATGACGGTTTTTTAGAGTATCCTTCGAAATGTCTATTTGAATTTCACTATACAATTTCACTAAATTCGATTGAATTTTTGAGTATCTAGCCATATATAGTAATTAAGTAGGGTTTAATTAATTAGTAGTAATCAAGTCTCAAAATGAGGATGATGTTAAATGTAATACAATGACAAATCTTACAATCATATAAGCAGCAGTGGAGAAGAGGACCATATCAAAATGTCCTAAGTAAGGCATCTGATATGCGAGCTGCAGCAATCACCATAACCGTTGATATCCCATCTTTCAAATTAATCACAGCGGCGGCTTTGTTGAGATGCTCCTTCTTCCAGCTATCAGTGAGATAAGACATCAACACAGCGCTGACTGCATTTTCTACTAAGCCTTGACTAAAAGTCACTCCTATAAATCATTCATTAAAGCACAAATTATAAGATAAAGTTCTCTACTACTGAAAATATATAAATCTTGCAAATTAAACCCCTCTCTCTCTCTCTCTCTCTCTATCTGCTAGTGGAAATCAAAATGTCAAGAAACTAAGATTACGAACCAAAAATAAATGAGACCCCCGTGGAGAAGACAATATAGTACCGGAACCATTCGATTGCCATACTATAAAGCTTGGACGGCATTCTACTTCTTGTTGGTGCTATCAGGCTATCAGCAGCTATGGATCAGCCTTCTCTTTCTGTTATAACACATAAAGCACTTAAAGTTAATATGGATATATCCTTAATACAATACCAGAAGTAGTATATATATGTATGTCTGGACAATAGAATGAATTGAAGCCATTAAAATGCATACCTCGATAAGCTATATATGTTTCTTCAAGGCAGAGCTAGTGGATTATAAATGGAAAGTAGAGAATTAATGATATATTTATACATTAATGCAGATTGGTGACTGGATGGAAAATAGGAGGAAAGTGCATATTGAAGTTCATGGAAAACCCAATTAAAAAGTTGAATCTGCAAAAAGTAAAATAAGATAACAAGTCCACCTCAATCACTGACCGGGGTGGAGCCAGTCTCCCAGGTTGTGGGTGCCAGCTGCCCTGGGGCCATGCTGTTGTACTAATGTTTATTTTACCGATACTTCAATGTCCATTTGGAGTAATCACTCTCCATCTCATAGACGTCGACATTAAGTCCGGTGGCATCATGATAATTAATACAATGCAAATGTCCCCAGGACTTCCCAAAATGCCAGAATTTAAAAACATCAATCCGACATGGTGGAGACGGCATTGGGCAGAATCTTTGTTGATCAACATCAAAGTATATGGAAGTTTCTAGTGGGCTGAAGGAAATCCAATGAATGGAACCATTGCAATAGACTCCATTAGCGAGGTCCACACATCTTGGTACCTGAAAAGGATGCTGATCACAAATATTGGGTGGTGAAGACCAGGCTTTGGTTTCTGAGGAATAAATGCGCATTTGACATAAGTAGGCACCCCCATATAGTTTACTCTGAAGCAAAACAAATTTGTAGTGAAGTGATTTTGAAGGTTCAAAAACCAAATAAACACGGTCACCGGGGAAAGTGAAAACTCTGAAAAAAGTCCAGGGAATAGTAGAGAATTGCTTGGTAGTAGGATTGTAAACGTGGTACTTAATTTTACGACTTGTACAGCAGATGAGTAGAAAACCATTACAAGAGTCTTCTACGATTTTATCAGTATTCATATCAGCAGTTAATAGAGCGAGTGACTTGTTTTCTTCTCCGCCATTAATAGTAGCAGAGAAAATGAGAGGAATGAATTCGATGAATCCAGATCCGGATCTAGAGGTGAAGAAAAGGCCGGAGATTTTGGGATCATGGAATTGTGGATGCTGGTGTTGCCAGTGGAGGAGAGAGAAACGATCGCTGGAGATGAGAAAGAGCCATGTTTTAGAGACCGACTTGAATCGAATGAGGGATTTCGGCGGCAGACGCTGAAGGATCTCCGCCACCAGGTCCTCGTTGCCGCCGATGATTTCAGCGGCGGCGGCGGCGGCTGAGATTTGGTCCGTCGACAGTCTCTGCCCAGTATTATTCCGGCGATTGTCAGAAGCCATTGGATAACTAATTCTTCTCTGAACACTACTTGACTCGTTGAATCCACTGGAAGATATTCGACTTACAGACTTTATTTATTTATTTTTATTTTTTTTATTTTTATTTTTTTCTTTTTCCTCCTCTCTTTTGGATTTGAATCTCCTGAATATGGAATACTTCCTAAAGGACTTAATAGACAACGAAATCAAATCCGTGGAAAACACGGAATAACATTAAATCCTAATAAAACATGGAATAACATAAAATCTTACTAAATCGAAACTTTTCTGTGTGTTTTAAATAAAGTTTTGTGTGAAAAAAAATTATATGGTTATAGAAAGTAATTTGTTTTTGGTTTTTTAAATAAAGTTTTGTGTGAAAAAAAATTATATGGTTATAGAAAGTAATTTGTTTTTGGTTTTCTCTTTTACTGCTCACCAAACTTTTAAAAGAGTTCACAACTTTTTAATTTTCTTTATTCTCTTGCTATTACCATCGAAATAAACCTAATTGACAAAAACAAAGTTTAAAGCTCCATCCTATTGTATGCGCGAGCGGTTAAAATCATTAACCTAAATATAACCAAAATTATAAGTTTAAAGTTTTAGAACCCAAACCCAAAAAATTATTAGTTTAAAGTTTTAAAATCCAAACTCTAATAATTTGTGTCAAGCATTAATCACATATAAATATGAATTCTAAAATCTTCGAATTTCATTATTCTCACAATTCTATAATGATTTACCTCGATTTGTGATGGCAAACCTTATTGAAATCAAGTCCGACAATTCTATAATGATTTACCTCGATTTGTGATGGCAAACCTTATTGAAATCAAGTCCGACGTCAAGATCTTTTAATAACGAACTAAGTTATAACTCTAAATAATGGAAAAAAACGTGAAAACTGATTTCTCTCTCTTTGCATTTTGCACATATAAAACTTTATACGTGTTATTTCATTAGTGTACATAATTGATATGCACTTTTGTAAAAGCAAAGAAGGATGGGACCAATTTCTTTTTTAGTAACCTTAATTACAATTTTCATCAAAGTAAAGAATAAATAGCAAAACATTTCTCTAATCATAAAGTAATTTATAAGTTGACCAAAAAATATAATTTTAATAGATATCTATTTACTTAACCACTAATTAATAAAATATATCACATGTCCAAATCATGTGGAGTACATAATTAATAAATAATCTTACATTAGAACTCAAAAAATTATAGATTAATTTATACAAATTTAAGTATAAACAAACAATTTGATAATTTACTTGCAAAGTAATTTGATGGATATGGAAAATCATACCCTTAGATGAAGGATCCCAATATATAAATATTCAGAATTTCACCTTGAATATTTCACATCATACCTAATAAATTTTGAGTTTATGTTGAAATATATTGTCTTAGAAACGGTTTTATGTATTTTTATTTTTATTCTTAGTTTACTTATAATTTAAGAATCATTCTTTTGCCATATCTATAAAGAATTATGGACAGTATTTAGGTACAACATACTCATTGATAATGTGGACCAATAATAAATTGACTCCTCTTATTTTAATTACCAAATCATAAATGGTAATCAAATCATTATCTCTGATTTAGTAAAGGAACATCTATCCACCATCTTTGATTTGGTAATTAAAGATCACATGTCAATTTATTATTAGTCCATATCAGCGTTCAGTGACCACCATCTTTGATTTGATAATTAAAGATAACGTGTCAATTTATTATTAGTCCACATAAGCAGTAAATATGTTGTAAATTCTCACTACTTAAGTATTGTCCATTATAGAATTATTATGATTAGAAGGTTTAAATTGCATAACGATCCAAGAATGTGTGTCCTGACTAATTTCAAAAGATGAATAGTAACATAATTTTTGTTACAATTGATTTCATTAGATGGATCCTTTGGTTAATGTAGTATTCAATTTTGTTAAAATAATCTTTGACAGAATATAAAAAATAAAATAATTAATAATAATAATAACTTCACATGGTAGCATTTATAAAATTTGTAAATGAATAGCTAAATGACTTAAATTTGTTCAAGTGACTCATTCAACATTTAAATTAGTAAGCATATAAATTGAATTATACATAATTAAGAAGTGAGGGTTTCCATGTCTGCATTCTTGTGGTATAGTTACAACTTACAAGTGCCTCTTCCTATATCTTTTCTTAGATATCGTGCTGGTTTTTGTTGGTGAAAGCACTTCGATTTGTATCTATAGTTGGTTTTTTTTTATAAGAAAAAAAAACAAAAACAAAATTTAAAAAAAATTGAAAAATATATATTTCCAGTATACATCTGCACTTGAGAAAAATGCTAATAAGTTATAAGGCTTTGCTAATCACAATCGCCTTGCGACTGTGGCTTTACAGTCCTTTGTCCTATTAATATAGGAATCAGATCTCATTAAATGCATCAAATGCATTAAAGAAACATATATATATATATATATATATATATATATATATATATATATATATATGGCAAATAATAAAAAACAAATAATAACTAATTTTGTATTTTTTAAAAATCTCAGAATCTATCTTGTATATAGATTCTTTTCTCATTTTTTTTTTATTTTTTATTATCATTTTTTCTTTTCGAATTTTGTTCTAGCTCTTTTTTTTCTTTGGAATCCATCTCTTGAGAATGGATTATCCTAACTATAGGTTTTTTTCTTTTTCAGAATTCATTCACATAGTAGTAGTTATTATTATTATTATTATTATTATTATTATATACACACACATCCGTATGGATACACACACACACACACACATTTCTGTATGGATAGATTAAAAGGGGAGAGAAGAAGAAATGTTAGATAATTTAAAAAGATATATATTTGTCTAAAAAAGTAATGTTTATATACTTTCACTAAAATAAAAACTTTAGTAATTAATACATTTAATGGGATCTGATTGTTATACTAATAGGATAAACGACTATAAAACCACGAACAAAGCGATTGTGATTAGCAAAGCCCTAAATTATATTACAGATCTTGTCAGGTATAAAAGACTGACATCTATGAGAGTGAAAGTCTGCTAAATTAAAGTCAATAATTTGAAATAGTCACAACCAAGTGGTCATTGATTACCATAAAATATGATAAGTGTTAAATTAGCGGGTGACAAACAATCACATAGTGAAATTGATGGACATAAAATACTCAAAAAGTGACCACCCAACCCAACCCAAGTGATATTCGAATAGGAAAGATGTTCTCAATGTGTCCCTGGACACGACAGGAAGGCTTAGGAGAAAAAGAAACAGGAAGGCTTGCTACATCATCAAACTTCTTATAGGTGTTATCCTTAATGTTGTAGGAAATGATCATGATCGTGTCTACAAATAGCACCAAAAACACATCCCTTCCATCTTCTCCATGAATTAAACCAAGCACAGTGATCATATCAGGGCGGACAACCATCTCCTGTATTGATACAAGATCAACCATCATAGAGTCAAGGCAAACCCGATACTTCAATGACCACTTGGAGAAATCACTTTCTATCTCAGAAATGTGGACATTAAATTTAGTACCATCATAATAATCAATAAGATGCAAATGACCTCTGGACTTCCCAAAATGACAGAATTTAAAAGCAAAAAGCTCAGATGGTGGAAATGGCATTGGGCGGGATCTTTCTTGATCAACATCAAAGTATAAGGAAGTTTCTTCTGGTTGTGAGCTGAAGGAAATCCATTGGATTAGACTCCATTTTGGAATTTCGCACTTAATGGTGCCTTAAAAGGATGATGATCACCAATATTGGGTTGTGAGTTGTGACTCCTACCAGGCATGGGTTTCTGAGGAATAAATATATACTTGACACAAGTAGCAACCGTAATCTAGTGAACTTTGAAGTAAAAAAACTTTGTAGTGAAGTGATCTCGAAGGATCAAAAACCAAATATAAAAAGTCAGGAGGATAACAGCCAGTGCGGGTAAAATTAAGGTCAGGGAAGAGTGGAGAATTGCTTGGTAGTACGATTGTAAACATGGTAAGACCTCATGAAATAATTAGACTGCTTAGTTTCACAGCAGATGAGTAGAAAACCATTACAAGAGTTGTATGATAGTAGTAGTAGGATTCATGTCAGGAAAGAGAGCAGCGCGCGAGTGACTTGTTTTCAACTCTGCCATTAATAGTAGTAGCACTATTACATCGATTCTTCTTCAAGTCAGAGTGAATGAGAGTAATGTATTTGATGAATTCAGATGGGTATCTGAAGGTGAAGAAAAGGCAGGAGATTTTGGGATCGTGGGATTGTCAATGATGATGCTGCTGTTGCCAGAGAAGGAGAGAGAAGCGATGGCTGGATATGATAGAGCCATGTTTTAGAGACTGACTGACTGATTTTGCTGGCGAACGCCGAAGGACTTCCACCGCCAGCTCCTCGTTGCCGCCAATGATTTCAGCGGCGCGGCGATCTCATTGAAAGGATTAGGGGGCGGCGGCACCTTTTAATATGGTTAGAAGACATTTATTCAATTAACTCTTTTCTAATCGACCACTACTTGACTTGTTGAATCCACAAAGAATCAATCAAGGTTGTTTGGTTAAGAGAAGCAAAATAAATAAAAAAATTAAAAATCTAATAAAATGCTGAATAGCAGTAGTATAAAATTTCCTTTTCAATTTTGTTGCTCATGTTTCTTTTTTAGGTTATCCCAAAATACTTGTCCACTTATCAAGTTTAAATAAGATATTTTACATCTTTCTATAAAATATCCTTAAAATTTTAAAAAATTTCAAACTTCATCGTATATATATTTAAACTTGACAGAGTAGTTCTGTAATTTTTAAAGGAGAGAATGTAATAATTACATATTCCTTTAAAAAAAAAATTTACTTTTCAAAGGGAAGTACTATAAAAGAAATGTTTATAATTTTTTTTATAAAAAGTATTATTTTTTCAAAATTTCTTTTCTTCTTTTCTCACTAACCACACTTTTTAAATGTGGTAAAAAAAAAAAATTGT